CACGCGGCCGCGCTGCGCAGTGACTCCGCAGCGGGCGGAGCGCCGTGGGCCGCGTCCTCCCGCTCTGTGGTGGTGGTGGTGGCGGAGGCAGCGGTAGCTTCAGCTCCTGCTCCCTGTGCCGCCGGCCCCAGCGCTGTCTCCCGGGCCCCCTAGGGCCCCCGGGCCCTCAAGCCCGGTGCGCGCCCTCGCGTCCCGTCGGCCCCCTCCCCCGGCTGGGCCCGGGGGAGGGTGGCGCAGTGAGCGAGCGGGGACCGGGCTCTCCTGCCCTTTCCCCTGTCCCTGGGCTGCCAGGATGGAGGCGGGGTCGGGGCCCCCGGGGGGCCCGGGCTCCGAGAGCCCCAACAGGGCGGTGGAGTACCTGCTGGAGCTGAACAACATCATCGAGAGTCAGCAGCAGTTGCTGGAGACCCAGAGACGGCGCATTGAAGAGCTGGAGGGCCAGCTAGACCAGCTCACCCAGGAGAACCGAGACCTGAGGGAAGAGAGCCAACTACACCGTGGGGAACTGCACCGGGACCCCCATGGTGCACGAGATAGCCCTGGCCGAGAGAGCCAGTACCAGAACCTTCGAGAGACCCAGTTTCATCACCGAGAACTGAGGGAGAGCCAGTTCCACCAGGCAGCTCGAGACGTGGGCTATCCGAACCGGGACGGCGCCTACCAGAATCGGGAGGCTGTGTATCGGGACAAGGAGCGGGACGCCTCTTACCCGCTCCAGGACTCTGCCTACCCACCCCGCGAGCGCGATGTGGCTCAGTGCCACCTGCACCACGAGAACCCAGCCCTAAGTCGTGAGCGTGGCGGGCGGGAGGCCGGGTCAGCCCACCCAGGCCGTGAGAAGGAAGCCAGCTATTCAGCGGTGGTGGGCGTGGGGTCACGGCCACCGCGGGAGCGGGGCCAGCTGAGCCGTGGCGCATCCAGGAGCTCTAGCCCCGGGGCCGGTGGAGGCCACAGCACCAGTACCAGCACCAGTCCCGCCACAACCCTCCAGAGAAAGTAAGGAACGTGTGTTTGTGCCTTCCTCTCCTTCCACCCTTCCTCTCTAAATCCCTGTCCAACTTGTCCGCCAGCCAATAAAGTAAGATGCCTGTGCCTGATTCCATTTCCTCCTCTCCCTCTTTCATGCTGCTATCCCAGCCCACCTGGAGAAGCTGGGTCCTCCTCATCCAGCTGACATCCTTTCCGTAGCCACACCAGATTGGGATGCCCAGATGAGTGCAGGTGTCTCCCCTTGTCCAAACCTGTTCAGTGAGGGGCTAGAGCAATCATTGTGCACCCCTCCCCCTTCATCCCCTACCTAGATCCTTGCCAGAGGATGACTTTTCATTTATTTAGCTTGATATTTTTATTGTTGGTGATGGTGTTGTCAACTCAGAGCCCCTAGGGAGAGAAACCTCTCCTCCCCCTCTGGCCCTGTTTGGGTCTCTGTTGTAGGTTTTAAGTGCGGGCCTGATCTCATCTCCTCTGGCAGCCTCAGTTCCATCCTTTCCCAGAGAGGCAGGTGGGGACCAGAATGGCTGCTGGAGGCTGAGATGTCTCTCTAAGGGAAACTGCAGCACATCCTGGCCTGGAGGAGCAAAGATGAGGAAGCAAAGATGGAGATCAGGCCCTTGGCTAGTTCCTCAAAGTCCACCTTCTTGCCACCCTTCAAGAAAATCAGCACCCAGCTAAATAGCTGTAGCAGGAAGAAGAAAAGTCTACAGATCTCCTCTATTGTTGGATCCTTTCCAGTATTTATGTTGGGACTTGCCTGTCTATTTGGTATACCTTGACAATATCTCTTAGGTTGGTGGGACATATGGGGCTAATGCCACTTTTATTCGTGTAGATACCATCATGATCTGGTTGTAATACATGTGTCAGGCTGAGTCAAGGGCATGCTGACTCAAAGGACTTCCCTAAAGTCTCCCTTGTTTTCTGCTGTATTAGGAAGAACATTGAACTGGGAGTTAGGAGACCTGGGTTTGCCTTCCAGCTCTGCTGCAGATTGGCTTTGTGACCTTGACTGAGTCCCTTCCTCTCTCAGCCTATCAGTTCCTCCATATCTTTTTTAAAGGCAAGACATGCTCTTTCAGGGCTCTTCCAGCTTCAATTTGATGATGTTTCTGTGACTAATCCAGCCACACCACAGAGCAAGTCTGAAGTCCTCTAGCGAATGGACAGGCTTCCCCCACCCCCTTCACTGCTCAGCTGGTCCTACCATGTGCCACAACCAGTGGAGTGTCTCTTGGAGGCTGGGCTGGGGGTGGGGAAGCCTTCTGCCTCAGGAAATTTGCTGGGAGACAGCTCTCTGCAACTCCCCCGTGGTGAGGCAGCAGGCTGGGGTGCTGGGTTGAGATGGCTGGGCCCCAGGAGCAGCAGCTGCAGCTTGAGGGCTAGGCTCCATTGCAGCACACCCTTAGCTCAGCGTTGGTGTAGACTGCCACAGAGTAGTTCGGGGGTAAGAAGTATGGACTCTCCTGTCCAGGCAAGCAAGCCAAGAACCCATTCCTGGAGGACTGTGTATATCTTGGGGCACCACCTTGGAGAAAGGATGCAGATAGACTACGGCCCATTCGGAGGGCCATGGTGGGGTAGGGGCAGAGTAGTTTGGATGGGGCATTGTGGTGCTTGAGCCTGACTTTTCTAGAGGGGTCAGGCCTGTGATAGAGGAAGCAGCTTCATTATATGTTGCCTCTAGAGGCTAAAATCAGGAGTAATGGGAAGATTTGGGAATAAATCAGGAAAGACTTTCTAAGCTGGCTGTCTGATGATGCAGTGGGATGCCTCAAGTAGTGGGGACAGGGCTTTTCTAGACATGCCCAGCAGTGGCCAGGTCGGGGTCTGATGGACAAAGCAAAATTCCTGAATCAGGTATAAAGCAGCTTGATGTAATCTGGGTTTTCCCAATTCCAAAATTCCCTTATCTCAGATTTTCCATCCTCTAGACACAGGTCTGGTCTCTGGGCTAGCCGGAAGCCTATTTGCTCCTGAACTCTGTGCTTCTGCCAATCATGCAGGCCTGTCTCTTGGTCCTTCCCTTCTTTTGTGCACCCTCCAGGTTGTTTGTTGGATTTTCTTTCTTTGTGTTTCCAACTGGATTAATAAGGGGGGTTAACTAGTACTTTGAACTTCTCCTAACCACATATTAACCAACGTTTGCACATCCATTATTAGCTCTTTTGGCCGTCACAACAGGTTCTATGCAGTGACCATAATCAACTCCAATTTAGAGATGGGGAAACTGAGGCTCCAAGATGAATAAACCATGCTCAAGGTTAGAGCTTTCTAACTCACAGCAATCTCTTAATTCCAGAACCCAAACAGATGCTGAACTGAAAGAGGCCAGAGGAGCCTTAACTATGTAGAGAATTTTAGCAGGAAGAGATGACTCTGGGATGAGTGGAGATGAGGAAGACAAGTCTGTGTCTCTCTCCTTTCCACTCTGCCTCCTGGTCAGGCATCATGAGGGCCTTGATGCAGTAGACATTGCTGCCACAAGTGTTGCTGCAAACGACTCCCCTGCCAGGCCTGATCTGGGTTTTTAAGGAGCGGGTTGAGAAGGCTGCCACTGGAAGCGAGGGCAGGCAGAGTGGGAGTTTAACAGCAGAGGCTGCAGCATTGGGGGAGGATAGGTAGAGCTGGTACCAGCCTTCCAGGCTCCCTCTGGTGGACGAAGAGGGAAGTGGGACTTGGGCCGAACAGCACTTAACAATAATACCAACAATGATCCTGGGAGCCCATCACCACAGTTCACATTTTACTCTGAGAAGTAAAATGACACACTGGAGGTGATGCTACTAATAAGACGGACTCCCAATCCTGTAAATTTGTTTTATTGCTTTGGATGTTAGTTGTCATGTTGAGCTCCACTCATATTTGCCTATGATTCCCACATCCCCCTGCACTGTCTCTTCTAGACAAGTTTCATTATGCTGGTATCCCTTCTGCTCTGTTCTATGAATGTGGACTTTCTAGCACTGCATAGAGCAAAAGTAGCCTTTACTTCCTTCTCGACACTGGTCGTCTGTATGTGAGAGCTTGGTTGGCTTTTTTGTTTTTATGTAACTCTTAGGCCTGACCAATGCGCAGGTCTTTTTACCTGAAATTGATCAGAGAAGAGCGCTGCTTTTGTTGATCTTGGCCTTGTGTCCACTTGTGGTACTGGTACTCAGAATAATACATTGGACAGCACTTACAACAACAACAAGGGACCACTGCTGGGAGTACGATAGTTCCATAGGATAAACGCTGGACTGCAAACCACAAAATCCGAATTTGAACTCACCAGCTGTTCCACAGTAGAAAGATGAGGCTTTCTCTTCCCACAAAGATTTAAAACCTTGAAACCCCTACAGGGTCACTATGAGTCGGAAGTGACTCCACAGCACTTAACAATAACAGGGGCCACTGCTGAGTTGCTTCATGCCAAAGAAGCAACCACTCTTGTTGCCTGGGCCCAACTCAGGCACTGCTGTAGGCAGCAGGCTGGAGCTGGTTTGGTGGTAGTGCTCCAGATTCTATCCCCACGCCTACTCTGCAAGTTGGCTCACATTTGGGGACAGCAACTAGAGGTACCAGCCTGGTATTCTTGATAACCAGGGCAATGTATGCCCTAACACATGACTATTGGACTGTCTTCCTTATTTCAGTGAGATGCTCTGTCAGGACTTGAGGGTGCTGGGAATGAGGGAGTTAGAGCGAGCACCCAGGAAGAAGCTCCAGGGAAATCTTATCTCCTTTGAGGTCTAAGGTATTTTCCGCAGGGGTTGCACCTTCTTTCTAGGAGGGAAAACCATTTACCTTTCCCCCCAGTATGTTGTGAGCATTATACTTGGTGTGGGAGAAAATGATGATGTTGAGTTTAAAGACAGCTAGAGGAGTCTTGTTTTTCTGCCTAAATCTGGGGCACAAATGGGGCTGTTGACATCCACAAACATTTCTTGGCTGTGTACAAAGAGCAGGAGGGGCCACCAGGCTGAACAAACACCATGATCCTTGCCTTTGCAGAGGCTCCCCGCTGCCCCATTCCCAGCCAGAGAGACTGCTTAGGATCAGAGAAAGGAGGGATTAGGGCAGGGCAGGCCAATAGTTGGGGATGGAGGGTGGGGTTAGAGGGAGACTTTGAAAGAGAGTGGGTAGTATCTTGGTTTCCTATGGAGAGAAAAGTGGAAGAGAGAAGCCAGACTCAGGCTTGCTCTCTGCTCTTTCCTCACCTGTCTCACCCTTGCCTACTGTGGCCTCTTAATTTGCTGGAAGCATAGAAAGGCCTAGAGCATGGAGAAGAGGCCACACGTGTACTGAGTGAATCTCAGCCTTCTGTCTGCCAGGAACCACCCTGTGTGACTTTATGTAATAATAGCTAGCATTTTTTTTTTTTTTTACTGCACATACTGTGTGCCAAGCACTATTTGTTCTAAGTGCTTTCCATGCATTAATTCATTCAGCCTTCACATGAATCCTTTGAGATAGATACTGCGATTAACTCTATTTTGCAGATGAGGAAACTGAGACCCAGAAAGGTTAGATAGCATACCAAAGGCACAATATTTAGTGTAACTTGCCATGTAACAATGCCTTTTATCTCATTATCTCAGGCAGATTGCTACACCTCTCTGATTCTCATTTCCTCATCTAACAACGGGGATACGAGAAAGCAAAGATATCACCATGAGAACTAAGATACGCATAACCCAAGCCACAGTATTTCAGTCATCTCAATTGCATGTGAAAGCTGTACAATGAATAGGAAAAATGAAAAAAGAATTGATTATTTGAATTATAGTATTGGTGAAGAATACTGAATATACCTACTTGTTGCTGTTGTTAGGTGCCATCCAGTTGGTACTGACTCATAGCGACCCTATGCACAACAGAACTAAACACCGCCTGGTCCTGGGCCAACCTCACTACTGTTGCCACGCTTGAGTCCATTGATGCTGCCACTCTGCCAATCCATCTCACTGGGGGTCTTCCTTTTTTTCTCTAACCCTCCACCCTACCAAACATGATACCCT